CATTTCACAGGGAATCCACAACAATTAAGTCTTTGATTGGAGCAATTAGCATTTCTACACTTACTGCGATTGGAGATGTAGAGATTCTTATAGGCCAAAGAGCCTCTTTTGTAAGAATTAACCTCTCAGATACCAGTCAAGGTGAGTGGGGATGAACAGAGCGCACACCATACAACAATTTTGGACTTTCCAGAGTACCCAAAGGTGAAGCAATACCAATATCAAAATACTCAATGCACATCTGAGCTCCCATATACGTGGAATTATATTGATAAGATAAGGCTCCAAGGACATCAACTTATCAGATAGCAGGAAGGAAAACTGAAACCAAAGGACGAGAGAAGTACTATGCAGTCCTGGCTTTTTGAACGTGTCTCAGGAGAAGCCCAAGTGCAATGCAAACATGCCAAGACGCAGGAAAACTGGAAGGAAGCCACATCCAAGTCACGGAGGACATGGCTGTGTCTGTAATTGCTGCTCTCGGAGCTGCCCTCGGTGGGGTTCAGAGCTGGGGTTAATCCTACTTTGCGTATTCTATTAGGAACAGGGGCACTGCAGCTGGCTCCATGGTATCCAGTTCTGCAAGGAGCCAGAGGATGCAGAGTTGGAAGAGAGAAAATGTGGGGATCTGTAGGGTGTGCAAAAACAGTTTTGAGAGAATAGGCAGAAAGTTGAAAAATAAATCTGGGGAAAGGTAATCAGGAAAACAAATAAAGTAATCCAAAAGTAGTTTTTGACTTAATGAGAAAAGACGACAACATTGAGGCTAAACTGCATCTCCAGACATTGGACAAAGCATCAGTGTCCTTGCTGAATTTCTTTAGCAAATGCCTGTTTTTGACTGAATAAATGTAATTTCTTGAGAAACACAAAAGGATGTGAGAAAAAAGCAGCTCCTGTGTCCTCCATCCATGTCAATACCTACCTTAAAGATATGCGGCTGAGGTTCTTAAGTGTTACAGGATGGTTTCAAGAAGTACCAGCAATTTGGCAGGACCAGAGGTGATTTACTTCTGTACTTTTGTGTAGCAGAGGCGTATGTAGAAAAAATTTTACCAATAACCAGCATGGTATCACATACCTTGTTTTCCACTGGTATGTGCTTTGAGGACAACAGGGCACACTATCAAATCAGCATTTTATAAATCCTTTACACTGCCTAGAACAGCAGTCAGTTCAGTCACTGGCATCCAATAGAGCAGATGGCAAAACTCTCGTTCACTTCTCAGAGAGCAATGTGCAATATCCATTGGGTAAATGTGAAGTTATCTTAATTTTATTCTTCCATGAATAGAAAAATACCAAAATTAAATTTAAATTAATCAATAATATTGCTTAATTCACACAGACAAAATTCCCACAGAGCTCCCCTTCCAGACAGTTTAGTTAAGGACCGCAAGCTGAGCTGCTTGCATCTCCAAAAGCACAACTGTACCCGCTGAGGATAACAGTGACAGCGAGATGGGGGGAATAAAGAGAGAATTCAGATGCAAAGGGAGAAGGGCAGGAGAGAGAGACAGATAATCTGATTGTGTGCATTTCTCTTATGTGTAAATCACCTTCAGCGATTTCTCCCTTTGTTTTGTGATGCTGAGATGCTGCACACCTGAGCTGGTTTTGAAGTTAAAAAATAGGGAAATAAAGCTGCATAATCCCTGTTTTGAGAAGTCTCCTTTCAACTCCAGACTCCTGTTTTCAGATGCTAACGACACAGAGCCTCAGTGCTCAGACTCCCTTGCCTGATCTGAAAAGCAGTTCTACTTTCCATACCCCATCCAGCAAGACTGTTAAAATATTTAATTCTGTATTTGTTATGCAGACCAAAAAGACCAAGCCAGTATTTACTAAGGAGGGAACGTTCTTTTCTGACTTACTGAACTCGCCAATTTTTGACGGCAAGAACAAAGCATGAAGGAAATGATATTGCCTGACCTATGCATAGGATGTAAAGAGTGTTTTTCAAGTAGCTTTGCTGATGCCAACTGCTGCAACGTGCTTCCCATATAAGAATATTGTTTAGATTTATGAGTGATGTGAGTCATTGCAACACAACTCTCCATGCTCTAAAAACCAATGGCAGTGATAGGAGAGTGCCTACAATATGGTGCTAGAGCTCTTCAGTGGTGTAAGGGATGAGGACTCCCTGTAAGTACATGAACCTCCTTTCTCCACCCGTAAAAGAACGGAGAAGTGTGGGTATAGGCATCATAAAAGGAGAAAAAACCCTCTCAAGTCCTGTTCTTCCTTTCCAAATGAAACTCGGGCAGCAAAACGGAGCAGCCAGATGACCAATAGTAAGTGGGAAGGGTATTTTGATGCCCCAGTGTGGCCATCATGAACACAGGTTTTCAGTCACAGACTTGGAAGGGAAATAAAGACATCAAAACCATCAAAGAAGGGGTTATTTTTTGACTCCTTCTCAGTGCTGGCAGTCAGGTTTGCCAAAAATCCAACCCTTTCCTACTTCTGCTAATAGCACAGCTGAACTTCTGCAAGAAAGTGGAGCTGATGCTTCACCCACAGCCTCCTTTCCAAAAAAAATTGTCCTTTTTTACTGAAGATTTGAAGGGGAGCTGTTGATGCCGTGGTGTTGCCTTCAAATACAAAGGCTCTTCCTATTCATTGGCCACTAAAGGAGCTGGGGGCAGGAGTCACTGCAGCCAGCCCTTGGTTCCACCATTCTTCAGCACCCTCCTACCCAGTGCCATAGCCAAGAAGGACAGAAATTCCTCTCTTTCCTCTACAGGAAGAAACTCTCGCAAGGATTTAAAGAGTCAGATCACACCACTTCGCCCCCTCACCCACAGTTCAGTGGGGTTTCAGCATAAGAGACCTTCTAAGAGATGGACCTGTACAGAAGGAGTGGAGATAGGTTACAATGATGCTGAAATAATGCAGAACACGCCATTCCCTTCTTCTAACTATAACATACTAGTTACTACCGTTTATCTATTTATTCTGAGAGCAGGGAAAGATTCTCCCTGAGGTTCTTTCCATCAGTCCTAAATCCTCTCAGTCAGCTCTTAGAAACGTGCGCCTTTCTTTGCATGGCTGTAGGAGTTTCTCCTCTGTGAGGATTAGAGGGAAATAAACAACTGGAAACCTCTCTGCAGCAACAAGTGTGGCGACTGGAGTACACAGAGTACGGAAAACAGCTTGAAATTTAACAGTGCAAACCCAGGTTTAAGCTCTGAGTGGTTTAAGGTCAGCGTGTTGGACCCAATGAAGCCAGACCAGACAGCTCAGCTAATGCTTTCTGACTTCTCTTTTGCATTATAAACGCATATTCCTCCAAGAAACGAGCCTGATCGAAAGCAGAGTCTCCTCTCTACCTCTGCGCGTCCCCAGTGTTTAAATCTACAGCCAAGTACGGCTGTGCCGGCCGCATCTCCTGCGTGTGTACACGGGCTCGGGGTGTGTGCGGCACCAAAGCAGCAGCTGCCTGTTGATCCCAACCCTCCCGCTGGAAAAAACAGGTGATAACAAATTCTTGAAGCATATGCAAGCATTAAGCAACTACTCCACCAATTGCCAGCAGCTGTTCCAAGAGCCCTGCCCTGCTTGCCACAGGTATTTATTTATTTAAAGTACGAGACCCGCCCTGATACAAAGCACATGGGTGGACATCTGTCTGTACTGCCCCACCGACACCAGGGCTCCTGAACCAGGCCGTGCCAGCAATTTGGTGATTTCCAAGCTAACCGCTGCAGAGCTTCCCATCACGTAAAGGGGAGCAAAAGTAAAGGAGAGGGGCCAGAGAGAAATAACAGGGTCTAATTTCCTTGTCATTTTATAGACAGATCCTTCAAGAGGAAGTCATACAGCTGTTTGGATTTCCAACACTTCTAATGTTCTTCTAACCCCCGTTTTGCTCACTCAAGTAGATCACATTCAGTCTCTGTCTCAGACTCGCACACAACAGGAAGAACTCCTTCATACAACAGAAACACTTCAGGTACTTTCACTCACAAAGTGGTTTTATCATTTTAACCTTTAAGGAATGTGGCACTGAAACGTTTTCCCTCCTTATCCGGTAAGCATCATCTAATTTTTTTGGTAATACTTAGAAAAATCCCGTTTACATAGAGCATTCATTGAAGTGGTTCAGCTTTTCGCTGTACTCCTCTGCTCTGCTGTTGTCTCAGCAGTTACAGCCACAGCTGCCTCCTCCCGTATGGGAAGGAGAGGGACAGCGTGCAAGGAAGTTGCTGAGATTACAGAGGAAGCAACAACATGAGCAGATAAAGGCAAGGCACCTCCCTAAAACCATCATTCTTTTGAGTTAACTGCACGTCAAACTGGGAATTCAGACAGCAAAGTAGAAACTCACAAGAAAAGGTCTTAACTTTAATGAAGCTGTTGCTGCTTGGTGTGGAAAAGAAAAGAAACAACAACTCTTAGGCTCCACGGATCCCAGCAAAGAAGAATACACATCTGAAACAACTCCCTGTCATTAGAAACACTGAATAACGCAGTGATCAAAGGCTCTGTCAATACAATTATATTGTACGGGAGGATAAGAGGGAGGCTGAGACAAGTAACAGTGTGAGTAACTGGGTTAGACTTGTTTCTGAGTGCTGCAATCCACCATGTGAATGCTGTAGGTCTCCTTTAACTGGGTCACCAAAACTTCGGCAAAAGCCTGCTAACTTTGGGCTAGGAAGGGCTTTTTGTTTGCTTAACTTTAGGCTACGAGGTGTGAACGCTGGGAAGGGTAAGCAAATCCACACAGATATGGGCAGGAATAGGGACCTGCAGGTGGAACAGGTAAAAACTGTGCTCCTCGCCTTTTAGGACCCCTTTGCCCTTACAAATTATTCCAAATTTCTTCCACGTAGATCGTATTTAGAAGCAACAGAAACTGAACAGAAATTTAAGAGCAGAGTAACTGCTGTGCCCTCCCAAACGGCTCAGATAATGAGTATCCGCCTTGGAAGTTGTACCCCTGTCGAGCCCCGGGGTCCTGACAACCATTTCACGCAGTAATTTAAAGTAAATACCTGTCAGTAGGCAATCCTGCCGCAGCCACGTCTTGGAGTTCATTGAGGTCAAGGTTCTCGGGCTCGGTTGATACAAGCGGTGATAGCTTTCCCTTGGCATCCTGAAATGAGCTTTCGTGCCCTGCATTCATCTCGCCCGGCTGCTTTCCTGCAGCGCCGGGGTCGGTGCGTGCAGAACACCCCCCCTGCTCCACCGGCGGCACGGCTGGAGGGTGGCTTGGGCACAGGTCTGTCCCCTGCTCCTCCGTGCTCCTGTCCGCAGCTAAGTCACCCTCGCCGGTGACTAACACCCTGGCAGTGCCTGTTTCAGGGGTGTCTCTCGTTTTGTCGTGACCTGTGCTCAACACTGTGTCACTGCTTTCTTTCACATCTCCCTCAGTCACATTGCTAGGTTCGAGTTTGCAGTCAGTTTGCAAGCAATCATCCTGGCTTACTTCATTTTTTAAGTAATCTATTAACCCATGCATGGTCACTTTCTTTTCTTGCTGTGCATCTGGTGAATTTTCGGATGTTTCAGCATCACCCTGTATCACCTGCATGTCATCTGGAGACTTGATGTCACGCATAAAATTGCTGCAAATCTGTGTCTCCTGATTTTCCCCAGGTGCCACATTAAAATTACCCGGCAATTTCCCATGATTGTAAGATCCTCCCGGGGCAAGCGTGGAAGCTGCCATGTCAGAAACACTCCTGGCAGTGCCTGGATCACCGCACTCCCTTTTCTCCTGCTCATTTGGCTTAGGATCCTGGCACGGTTCAGTAGGAAGACTCACATCCTCTTCCGACGAAATGGGTTCTGCATTACACTCTGTAATTAAGTTACTTCCCTCTGCAGCAGCAGCATCTTCTAAGTCCCTCTTCTGCCCATCGCCTGCAGAGATAACAGCCGCGGTGGGTTGTTGCTTGCTGTCAGAATACTCAGGGAAGTTCTCGGCTGCTGCCCCATCAGATGAAGCCGGTCCTTGCTTCGTTACCTCTAAGCTTATTAGCGGGTCAGGA